ACACACACACACACACACACACACACACACACACACACACATATATATATATATATATATATATAGATAGACACTTATGTACACATATAACTGAATAGCAGATGCTATATAAAGCTTCATAACGTCCATGTAAGTCTCTTTGCTCGAAATAGCAATGAGTTAGCGAGTACTATGTGCTATTTGTCTATAGATAGATTAAAGATTCGCACACGTGGATCATGGGAAGTTTTTGCGGAAAAACATGTCAATGACATGCGTCAATTCTATCTTATATTAATAATCTCGCTGACATGAATAATTTTCTGTTAATTGGATTTCAATGAATATTTAATTGAGTACTGATTGATTTTCATATGTAATTCATTGTACTTCAGACAGAAAATAACTTACAGTATAATAATTTTAGACAAAGTATTAAATATCATTATTCTGTTATGTTTATCAATTTATATTTTAATTAATTATTATAAATATCGAGAATCATTACTAAAGTAGTAAGAGTCATTATTAAAGTAAATAAGTATTTCAGATAGTGTAACCTTTTTATTGATTATATTTTCTTTATACTTCCTCGATAAATTTAGATTTTCGCGATTTAAAATATCAAATTCTTAAAAATTTTTTAAATTCTGAATAGCTCGATTTCTTTGCTAATTACATTCTCCTGATATTTTATTGGTTTTGTATAAATTAAAATTTTTTTTATTCTTTTAATTTTTAATTCTTAAAAATTTTTTTTTAAATCTTAGAATTTTTGATAGTCTTCTTATCGATTATATTTTCCGAATACGAATCGATTTTCAAGACCTGATTTTCGCAATTTAAAATCCTGAAGTCTCGAAATAGCAATTCCAATTCTCTACGAACATTCCTAAATCTACAGATAGTAGAATTATCAGGGTTGTAGATACGTAAACCATGTAAGCTACACGAACTATGTGTAAAATGTCATTTATATAAACTGTAACTTATCGATCATAGAAGATTCATTTTATTTATATATAACATTTTGTTTAGAAAAATTAATACACACATATATAATAAATATATACAACATATATAATAAATACATACGTAATATAAAATTAAATAGAAAATAAATTGATACTTTTGTTTGAACCTGATATATCACATAATGAAAATTTAATATTATTATTTACTATATTTTTTAATTTTTAATATTATATATTTTTATTATTAACATATTAAAATCAGATATATTAACAATTTTAAAACTTAATTATTCTGTATTTTATTCTATATTATCTAATTCACAATAATTTACATATTTGTATTGTCCACATGAAAAAGATTCGTGTAAAACATCATGTGAACGATACATAAAAAAACCCCGTATAGAATGTAATCTTAAAATTACGGCACGCCTAGTAATTATAGAAAAACTCTGCATTATCGACAATCGTTACATAAAGCTCCATTTTCCTTATCGATAATAAACCATCGGTATATTATCTGCACATCTTGCCTGAAGATCTTGATAAATTTCCGGAGAATTAAATACGGGGGCGTATCAATCACTCGCTATCTCGCCCCTGCGATCTCGCTTCTGAAAGCTCCTCCCGGAGAGCTTATCAAATATTTGTAATTTGTAATTGAAACGTGCCTACGTTTGTCGATGATGAATTTGACGCGATCCTCGTCGATCCTGTCATGTATTTTGTACAATCTTACTTGAATTGCGCGCGATATTATGGTAAGACGGCGTAGCCGCGCCGATGTATGGGAATATGCTGTCGACGACGGGATAAACGGCGATCACGCTCGTCGGAAGACGGATCTTGCGTCGTTTTGGCTATGTTGTATCTGGTGTGTATACACAATCGCTAAAGCATAACGATAGCCTACTAACGAAACACCGGACGGACTGCCTCACTTTTTCTTCGTGTTTACCGTTTTATTCTATAACTAATTGTACTCTTTGTTTATCCGGATACGCTGAATCATTAGGAAGACGGAATCATCATGCGTAAGACGAACAGAAGGATCGACAGCGCCTGCGGTTTCCATTTTAGATTGTGCACGCCTCTTGGCGTAAATGAGCGACAACGAACATTTTATTGAATATCTTGTTGAATATATCATGATTCTCTGTTTAGATGAACAAAGGATGGGTTGCGTCAATAGCAGAGCAGACGCTAACGATCTGCACCCCAACATTTTTCAAGTAATGAACGTAGATGATGATGGTAACTTTATTTCACCTGGACGCTTGGAAGTCACTGAGTTGGATATTATACTATATCAGCGTGGCAAGCAACCAATTAAGTGGCCATTGCGCTGTTTACGACGATATGGATATGATTTGGAGGGGCTTTTCAGCTTTGAATCGGGCAGACGCTGCGCTACAGGTCCTGGCATATACGCCTTTAAATGTCGAAGAGCCGAGGAACTATTTAATCTTGTACAAACAAAAATTCAGGTTAATATCAGGTTTAATGTGAAACTGATTCTTGATATCAATACTTGATCATGAGATTTATTTGCTCAAAATTCTTCCTTATCAGCAGGTACGCAACAACAGTGGAGATGACACACTGTCCAGAGACCTTCCAATCCCATCGCATCCTGCTGCGTCAGTACCAAGCATGGCAATACCTATGGAGCCTAATTATTTGGATCCAATATCATCTAGAAGTAACAATCGTACAAATTCGAGATTGCCTCATAGCCAACAAAATGGTATCAGAAGATTAAATAGTGTTGGAAGCAGCAATGGCCCTATATCGCCTCAAGGAACCATGGGCTCACCTTCGCCACCGCCTATGCTGCCACCGCCACCACTGATTTCTCAGCCCCATCCGTCCTCTCTGTACGTTAATGAAGAGGTTTTGTCGTCTCTCCCCATGGAAATGGAGCGCAACAATAATAAAAGCCTCGGAAGGGCAATGCAGAGGTAATTATTTTTATTTTTCATATAGGAGACAGAAAAATTAATGCGGAACCTATCGGACTCAGGCTCAGGATTCTTTGTTTATTGTATCACTTTGTTACTTGCATCACTTAGTCTGCATAACGAATTCTCTTCAATAATTATTTATATTTCTAATTCCTTATTAATGTTTAATTGACTCCTATGGTTTTTTTATTTCTTATAATTATTTTGTAATATGGTTTCTTATCATCACAGGTTGCCACAAAACGCTTCTATAGTTATTAACGCGATTTCCGTCAGCAGATCTGCAGAAACGAAATTGATACCCGGTCAATGTAACGCGGGAACCGGCTACGATGCAGCGTTGCCATTACCGACTATGGCGCCCTATATGAATATAGACATCTGCAGCGAAGCCAACCCGATCTCGCCAACGCACAGTACTTCCGAGACAAATCAGCTCAAGGAGGAAAGTAATGACATAGATGGATCTGAGCATGCATACATGAACATAAGTCCTAGACAAGATCTAGGCGCCGAGAACATTGCTATCAGAGTGCGTCCGCCTCCATTGCCTGTCTCGCAATCGGAAGTGGAGGAAGGTTCCAGGCATTGCTATGCTAATCTGGAGGCAAGCGAGATCGAGAATCTAAGAAAGCGATTCTCAGGTACTTCGGTAGCTGAAAGATCACCCTTGGCTCCTTCCACACCGACAGGATGTCCAATCAGGGAGGTAAATTACGCGGTTCTCGATTTAGATAAGAAAGACACACCAGTCGGCGTATCCGATAACGCCACAAATCTCGTTCCGTCGCCTCCCGAATCTCCAAACAAAACGCAGGGCTACGCCACAATAGACTTCAACAAAACGGCCGCTCTCTCGGATTCGGTAACCCCAAGCTCGTGAATGATAATGAGGGTTGCAGAAAAACGCGTCACAATTCCACGATAAATGACCTAGTAACTCCATGCAGGCACAATTCAGTAAGCGAGTAAGTAAGCGAGTAGCACATTTTGAATTTCGTGTACGATGCTCGTATAACGACTGTCCATCGTATTCTTCGCTGTAGAGAAAGGGAAAAAAATGACAAAAAAAGCACAAAAAAGATGATCAACGCAAGAAAAATCGGTTTAATTTCACCATGAGCTTCTGAAACTCGTTGAACTTGTTTGATTACGCGATTAAACTTTCAAAGTTTCTTAGTATACTGAAGACTACATAGTAGTTGATATACCACAAGATATATTCTAGCATATAAATTTGTACAAGTTTTCCGTGCATTTTATCAGAACAACAGTATTCATACATAGTAAGTCTTTTTTCCAAGTCAGAATAAGGCAGCATAGAGAAAGAAATGTTTTTATATGACAAACGTATAGATAAGTTTTTAGTACTTCACGCAGATGGGTATTTTTACATTTAACGTTTTACAAAGTAACACGGAGGAATTGGAAGCTGAAGTGCCCTAATCTTTTTTCTGTAAATATCATAGAAATTAAATGTGGCTCAAGTGATCGTAGCGGACACATAAAGTATGGTACGATGTAAAGAAAGTAAGCTATCAATGATAACGAAAATCATATTATAGC